GTGTGTGTGTGTGTGTGTGTGTGTGTGTGTGTGTGTGTGTGTGTGTGTGTGTGTGTTTAAGAGCACATGAAGTAGAGAAGGAAAAGCAGTGGTGGGAGGGTGATGGAGGACCTAGAGAGGAGGGAAGGGGGTTAGATTTGATCAGAACACATCTGCATGCATGAACATTAAAGAAAATATCCCAAAAGGCTAAAGATGTTAGGTGATACATAAGGTGGTGCTCAGTTGGTTAGAAAAGTCTCCCAGAGGTGATGGAGCAAGTCCAGAGTGTTAGCACGATGAAGGGAGTGTTTGACCAGTCAGCTTTCCTCTCAAATGATGCTGAGGTTGAAGAAAAGCTCACACATGACTGCAGAGCATCTGTTATCGCTCTGCTTCAGCAAGTTCAGGGCTCTGGGGATGCTGCCAAAGAATATATAGATGCTGGTCCTTGAGCTGACTCTGGACATTCCTACTATAGGGGTTTCCCTGGGGGTGGTTGGAGACCAACAGGTATAGGCTCTTTTCTCCTGTTGGGGAGGCTTGCTGCCTTGTGTCTTACCCTGTTCTTGATCATTCCTCAAAGTTCACTTGAAGAGAGGCTAGTAAATGGAACACTTCCCATCCCATACCAAGTTTTCCAGCCCTGACATATTTTGTAAGAGAAGGAATCATAAAACACCTTGCAAAATTAGGTGACTTGCTTCAAGAATTCTGAGACCACACCCTGCTCAAATTTATGATCCTTTTTTTTAAGTTTTAGGGCCCAGCACAATTCTGTTCATAGGGTTGCTTGTCTCAGCAGAGAACTTTGTGCTAGAATACCCACGACATCTTCAGTGCTTATCATGTCCAGTCTTAACAATTCCTCCTGGTATTTGAGACCTCCACCAGGCTTGATCTCTGTGTTCTGTTTCAGTACTTATCACTGAACACCACCTTCTTTGCCTATCTAGAGTTTTCTTTGTCCCTCATCTACCATGTACTGTCCTCATTGTGAAACTGTCCCTTGTTTGTATAATTTCTCTTTTCTTCCATTTGCCCTAGAGACCTTATTTTATTATTTCTATCCTGCAACATTCTTCCACTTCTTCAAATCTAATGATGATTGCAATCTGTGCCACACAAATTGAACTTGATTATTGTATTATGTTCTTTTAAAGATCTCTAGCTAAGTCTGATGAGGGTCTGGTGTCCTGATGTCTTGATCTACAAGGTGGAAAAGCTGTGAGTTCTTTTGAATCTCTCATAGCATTTGGTTGGGTTGGAACCTTAGGAGTGTACTGCTATTCTCTGATGCTAGTGTCCACAAAATTGTACTGAGTTGTGATCTGTGGTTTGTGTGAAGGGAATATTTATTGGACCCTCTGCCATGTTTCAACAGAGAACAGAACTCTTTTTTTTCACAAATTGAGGCAACCTCCCTGACACCCACCTTCCTTTTGGGTGAATAAATAACTAATGCAAACAGTCAAGATCAGCAATGTTTTTGTCAAGTTATAAAGAATAAATTTATATTCATTAAAAGGAAGTAGATATATGTCTCCTCTCTCTGTCTCTCTGTCTCTGTCTGTTTGTCTGTCTCTTTCGCACGCACGCACGCATGCACGCATGCACGCACATCACATACCCCTTCTTCCTATATTGGAAGGCTCTTCCTACATCAATGAGAGTGATGTGGGAGACAGACATTTTTACTTCCTGTCTTGGCTTTTCTACCCATGGCTGTGGGGTAGTTGTCTGTGCTTCTGAAACACCTCCCCTAATAGACAGCAGGTAACTGCTAGGTATCTGCCTCTGCCCAGAGTGGGGACCCCTTAAGACCTGAAATGCTTATGTGCTCACTCTCTCTTTGCTACCTCTTGATCCTAGATGCTGAATGCTGGTACTGTGGACCAAGTCAGAGTTCTCCAGAGAACCTCGTTGGACCGAGCCTCACCTCTCCTAGATCCTGTAACCAACTCTTTTTGCTTGTTGTAAGCTAACTCAAAAATAAACCCCTTTTGACAATCAGATAAACTACGTGGAATTGCCTCATTAATTGCCACTATACATGGCTATGGAGCTATGGAGAAGGGCTGTTGTTTTTATGTTTTCCTTTTCATTGTAATGTTTATTAGTAGGTTAAGTCCTATGTTCTGTACCCAATCTCCCTTTTCTCATTAGTCTATCTGTCTTCAATTTGGATGAGGAGATACGAAGGTATGTTCTTTAGTCTACCTCTTCCCAAGAGGACTAAACACTAGGTAGGAGATATTTAGGTGATTTCTTAGTCTATTAATAAAGTCAATATTTGAGTTCTAGTTCAGATGTCTCTTTATGCATGATTATTCTACTAATTATAGCGATGAGAGGGAACGGAGTGAATATAAACTTGAGGACACGTCCTGGTTTTCTTTCTATTTCTGTGATAAAGACCACGACCAAAAGCAAATTGGGGAGCAAAGGGTTGATTTCATTCTACACTTTATAGTCTACCATTAGAGGAAGCCAGCCAGTGGAAGAACTCAAGCAATACAGGAACCCGGAGTCAGTAACAAGCAGGCAATATAGAAGGAATGTTGTTTCCAAGCTCCCAATCATCTGTCTTTCTTATCCCTCTCAGGACTACTTGCCCAGGGGTAGCACCACCCACAGTGGGATGGGCCCTCCCACATCAATCATTAATCAAAAAAATGTCCCCACAGACCTCTAGACAGGCCAGTCTGATTGATGCATTTTCTCAATTGAGGTTCCTTTTCCCCAGATGACCCTATCTTGTGTCGAGTGGATTAAAAAAACCTAACCAGCCCAGACCCCAAACACTGCCTCAAGCCCTGAGTCTTACTTGAACTGACCAGATGGTTGTGTAATTTTAGTTAAGGTTGTGCTATACTCTTAAAAAGGAACAGGAGCATCAGTGTATGCACACGTAGGTAGACAATATGGCTCTACCAAGCTGCATTGGGTAAGAGGCTCAAGTAAGCCATCAAGTTGCCAGGTCCTGTGTCTTCACTGACTCTGGGGAGAGGCTGAGAGCCCTGAAAGACCTGTTATAAGAGGCCTGGGTTTGTGACCAGCTGAGTTATTCAGTTTGCTGCAAATCCTGTGGCAAACCTCAAGTGTTACTGAGATCCTACCTGTTCTGGCCAAAGCCCTCATTCCCAACTTCTTCTGTTCCTGATTTTTCCCAGAAGCCATTGAGACCTCTTTAGTCACTGTTCTATTGCTATGAAGAGATACCATGATGAAAGGAACTCTTATAAGGAAAAGCATTAAACTGGGGCTTGCTTACAGTTTCAGAGGTTTAATTCATTATCCTCATGGTGGAGAGCATGGTGGTGCACAGGCAGATATGGTAGCTCAGAGTTCTGCATCCAGACCCAATGGCAGCCGGAAGAGAGCAAGAGCCACTGGGTCTGGCTTGGGCTTCTGAAACCTCAAAGCCCACCCTCCAGGGACACACTTCCTCCAAGAAGGTCACACCTCCTAATCTCTCGAGAAGCGCTGCTCCCTAATGACAAAGTACTCAAATGTTTGAGCCTATGGTGGACATTCCTATTCAAACCACCACAACGTCTTAGCAACATAGTGACCAAGGGAAGTGTGCCCTAAGTTAACTGCCGTCTTTCCCCCTTTCTAGTGGTAATGATTAGGTTTGTTCAGGATCCCATAGACCCTCCTGAGCACTGTGCTCACCCTCAACCCAGGTGATTCCACTTGCCAAAGAGACAGAGACTATGGGACAAAGTCACTAGTGTGTCCTTTTAAAGCATTAAACACATTTTTTTTTTTTGGCTTTGGGGAATTCTGTGTATCTGTATAATAAAACTCAGCACTCATAAGCAAAAATATAACAAAACAGTAAGATCTTGACTCTGCACGACTGCCTGCTGAACGTAGCTCGACTCCTCTCTTCTAGACAGTAAAATGCACCTTCTGCCCGTTGCTCCATCTTCCCACCGTAGTGAATGCACTCTGAAATCCCATTGTTCTGAATGAGCGGTGGAACGAAAGAGCTTTCACTTAGAACGAAGAGGCCTAGCAGGTTTGCTTACTTTCGGGCTCTCTCTGTAAGCACAGCAGCCAACCTGTCTGCTCAACAACCGGCTTAAATGCAGCATGGAACAATCACATGATAGGTCTTCCTGCTTATTAAAAGTGGAGGGTGGCCACCAGTGATTCACACATCAAGCTAATACAAGAGTACCTAATAAAAACTTTAAAATGTGTGCATACATCATACATGTATTCCAAGACCGGTAGCTAGAGTGACCTCTAACCTTCACTGACCCCTTGAGACTAGGATTTAAACTAGGTGGAAAGATGAATGCGTTCTTAAAGCATGGAATAGCGCTTTGTACATTACTATTTTTTATTGTTTAATTTTAGATGTGGCACTAATTGTATAAATCAGTAAAAGGAAACACAAACAGTCACACATTCAGTGACAAAGTCATGTTTTTAATGCGATGAGTTAAGAGTCCTATGTAGGAAAGTCAGACTGTTGGCTTTTCTCACGGTTCTCATCTGCAAATGAATGAGATGCTTTTATGAAAGTGCCCTAGCAGTACCTTCTGGATACTACGCTGATTTCTTCATAGGTGATGTCAAAGGGATCTTGTTTTCACTGTAATGATTGAATGCATAGATGTCCCCTGAGCTTGTGTTACATGTGATTGTTTTCGTGCCTGTCTATCTTTTCTACATTTTCTACTTTTCCTCCAAAGGAAGAATGCTAGTTGTCCTCATATAATGGAGCTTGGTGAATGGGTGGTGCCACATTTTCTAGATTCTTTCCTAAATGTAGTGTGTTAAAAAAGAGTCAGCACAACAGCCTGGAATTATTCTATCATTGGCTGGGGATTACTGGCATCTTCTCCTAAATGATAAAACAGTGATGCTGAATATACTCTTCATATGTAATTTATGCTTTCTGTGTTTTATAATGTGGACAGACTCCAGAAGCCAGCTTTTGTCTAGAACTGGCAGGCAGCAGACCCAGCTCACTCGAACTCTTTTCCTAATAGCTTGTTTCACTTTAGACAAGCTGCATCTCATTCATGCTCACTGCGTAGTAGAGGCTATGTTGGAACTTGTTATGTGGTCCAGACTGGCTTCCAACTCACAGTTCTCCTGCTTCAAGATTCCCAAATGTGGGGATTACAGATTCTGAATCAACTTCTAACACATGTACTTGTAAGAAAGATCTTCAATCTTTCCTGTATAGAGAATGAGGAAGAGGATGTCCCCACAGAAAAGATCGACAGGACAAAGCAATGGAGGGTAGGAAAGAAGAATAGAGGGAGAAATCCAGAGCTCTGGGTGATAATATGGTAAGGTAAGACTGAACTTGGAAAGCGTTCCTCCTCATGATTGGTTTAGAGCAGTGGTTCTCTACCTGTGAGTAGTGACCCCCTTTGCAGGGAGGAGTCAAATGACCCTTTCACAGGGGTTGCCTAAGCCCATCAGAAAACACAAATATTTACAATTCATAACAGTAGCAAAATTACAAGAATGGAGTTGCAATGAAAATAATTTTATGGCGGGGGGTCACCAGAACACAAGGAACTGTATTAGGTTGTTGCAGCATTAGGAAGGTTGAGAACCACTGGCTTAGAGTGTTAGAGTTTCAGAGTGTGATGGACAGGAGGTACAGGCATACCTTCAGTTTACTTTTTAAAGGATGAGTTCAGTGAGCCCTCATGGTGCAGTTATAACTGAATGCATTGGCTTCACATTTTGGTGAGTACAAGGACAAAATAAGCCTTGCTAAGAAATAAGAGTAGGTATTTATTTACTGTGGCAGGGAAGAAAAGCATGAGCAGCATTCAAAGCAATGTATTCCTCCATCAAAGAAAGCACCAGGATTTTATCTAGGGAGTCTATGCATGCTCATATGGGCAAACACTTTGGGGGCAATCATATTCAGTCAAAGACGTATATTACTGAGTACACTCAGCTTAAGGTCATCATTCAAGAAGGAAAGATGGCAGACTAGGACACTTCTGAAAGCACCTTGCTTCTTTTCTCAAGAACGTTTTAGCTGCAGCCAAAGACTACTCTGTGAGTTCCAGGCCAGCCTGGTCTACAGAGCGAGATTGAGGACAGGCACCAAAACTACACGGAGAAACCCTGTCTCAAAAAACAAAACAAAACAAAACAAAACAAAACAAAACAAAACAAAAGTATGTTACTATAGAAGCTCTCCATTATGGGGGTGTACCTCACTCAGGGGTCACTGTGGGGTTCAGTGCAAAAGCTTCCAGGCAGCTTTGCGGTATGTAGTACCACACAACACTGTGGGCTTCTATCCTGACTCTTAAGACTGAACTCCCCAGATCTGGAAATGTTCTGCCACAGAGGAATTAGATCTTGTGGGCAGACCGTGGAGTGCTCCAAGACGAGGAGAGGCCAGAGAGAGGAGATCTGTGAATGTGAGGAACCGGAGCAGAGTTAGGACTGGGAACTTTGTGAGATGGCCCCCATGGATGAACTGACCTCTTAAACAGTTTTCTTTTGTAAAAGAGGAAAATTTGTATTTGTCTCAGTATTTAAAAACTTTACGTCCTCTCTGTTAAAATTTTTCCTTAATTATTCTAACGTTTCAGGAGATTCTTATACTCCTAATTCTCCTGCCTTTTCAGAAGTTTAAAAGGGTTAGAAAAGGAAGGAACAGGGCAAATTTAGTGGATAAACTTACCATATTTGCCTTCCCCCCTTTTTTTTGTAGGAAAGAGAATGATAAAAACTGTTTGTGCCCAAGAAGGTTGTAAAGATACCAAACACTTATAGCAGAGTCCCTCTCTACCTGGAGGCTCCCTTGACTGACTCCTATTAGTGTTTTTAAAGTTTAAATTACTTTTTTTCTATTTAACATCATTTTGACAATTCCACACATTTATACAATGTACTATAATCATATTCACTCCATTACCCTCTCTTATCACACCTCCCTCCTGCAAGCCTCCTTTTAAACTAGCTAACCATCTTATTCTCATGCCTCTTTCTAACATTAGGATTGCTTGTTTGAGCACACG